TAAGTGGGCGTTTACGCCTTTACAATTTTTTTTTCCAATAATTCTAAGTGGATATTTTATAGTATATAGATTCTGTGCAGTGCATACAAAATAATATTCTTTCATGCATAATAAGTAACCCGATGATGATGACATAATCTTCTGTTGGTGAGACAGAAATAAAGATAAAATTAAATGTCAAAATCTTTAAAATCATAAAAATATATTTATACCTCTTAATTTTAAGCCTTCAAACAAATTATGTAGATCCTAAAGGCATTTCATTTTCTTTTTTATGTTTTGTTAACATTTTATATTATACTTAAAAATTGTGATGCCACAAGAAAGTCACACTTTCGATGACAGGTACAATGATCATTTAAAATCTAAAGAAGAGAACATATATGTAGATAGGTATATAGATATAGAATTAAAAAGGTAAAGGATAAAATTAAGATTAAAAATTAAGCAGGATTAGTTTGTAAAAAAATGAAAAAGCAAACATTCAAAAAGTCAAAAGATTATTGTAAAAACTAATATACACAAATTTCATTAATTTTTAAATATTTGAAAATTTTCATCAAGTAAACAAACAAATAAACAAAATTTGCAGGTGCTCACAAATTCGAATTTTTGTTGTGAATTTTGTTGACTTTATATTTAGCATTAAGAAATAAGTTTCAAACCGTTATTTGGTATATGTATGGTGCAACAAGCATTTTTACACATAGTTGTGCATACGTATATAATGTTGGTATAAAACATTAGAAACTTAAGAATTCGGTCCTTATGAATTAAAAGGAATTCCAATAGTAAAATAATGTGCATAATGCAATATATAAAAATTTTTTTACGATATTTTTCAATATTTATGATATGTTTATTTACTTTTTTATTATAAAATATAATCCAAATTAGATTTGTAGATTTTTGAAATGATAAAGCTTGAAAAACAAGTATACAAGTCCCTTATATTATATTCTCTTATTCAACTAACATGTAGTTTCTCTTCTTCTTACATAATTTTCTCATTAAACATATCTTTTCCTTTTCTTACTTTTTTTTCAAAAAAGTTCCCGAAAACATAATTCCCGTCAGTCATCATCTTCAAAGAAATCAATCATATATATTTAGTATATAGGTTTCGAGAGAGGTGTAACTGTAATCATGATCAGTAATTTTCTCTCACTTATTTTAAGTGATCAAATATTTCGCTCAGTGATAAATCTCTTCATTATTGGGTGCAATTAGGATTAGTATTGCCAACTCTTTCTTGCTCAATTAACCATTAAAAATTCCAAAATTCCCATTTTTTCCCTTTCCAAATTGTATTTTTTCGCATATAATTTAAGAAATTTTTAAATATTGCGTTAATTCAATTATAAATTAATTAATAATGTTTAGTTAAAATGGTAATTTCAAATTGTAATACGGATATGTAAAACTATATCAGTTTATGAGGTGGGACTTTTTAAATAAATAGTAGGACTTTTTATTTTTGATCAAGTGTCACTAATAAAAAAAGAAAAATAAAATAAGTAAATTAAATCATGGGAATTCCCATGATTTTTGGTCTTTTTCCCTTCAAGGCTTCAAAATTCCCTCAAAATAGGAAATTTCCCACAATTTAGAATACAATTGCTTTTTTTGTTCTTTTTTCGTAAATGTTAGAAAACGCAAAAATTACTTATTTCCTCAATTTGTTTTCAAGAGATATACTTAAAAATTCTCAAATACCTCTCAAACAAGAGAGATACTCGTATAGAGATTCTTAATTAAACTAAAATTTACAAGGAAAAATTATACTACTTCCAACCTTTCCAAGTTTTTGCAAAATCTCTACCAAAAATTAGTAAAGTCTTGTAAAAGTTATTTAAGTTTTAGAGCAGTTAAAAATTTTTGAAAATTGTACAGAAAAATTAATATAATAAATTTTAAAAATTAAAATTTGTAACTTTTGCATAATCTATTATTTGTTAAAATTACTTAAATTGCAATATTGTGATTTTCGAAAAGTTATTGTGAATTCAAATTATATTTTTAAAAAAATCATTAAAAATGCATAGAATTTGATAAAATCATATTTGACTTCAATTCCAATAAATAGAAGAAATTTTTGTTCTATACATTTTGAACAATCCAACAACTACCAATGCTAATATTAAAATAGCTTTAAAAATAATCTTTAACTAAATAATTATTATTTCTTAAAGTATACGAAATCAATCTCCTGTACAAAATCATTAATTATCCCCATAATTCTATTTCATTATTGCACTTAAATGACAATTATAAAAATTTCATCAATATTTGTTCAAATTTTAATATCATACCAACTATGTACATATTAAATGGTATGTAAACAAAAACATACCATATTCTCTTTGATTTTTTTTTTTTTTGTTCATCTTTAAGTGCTCTCTTAATGGCTAACATAATTTTTTTCTATGAAAAATAAAAATTTTCCGGTCAATTTTCTAATATAACACTCAATATTAATTCACGATGATGACAATTAACACTTATACATAATTATGAAATTATTATATTAATTTATATATTAATATTAGTTTATATTTTGTTAACATACCACATCAATATATCATGTGAAAGGCACACTTGTGTACCTTATTGTACAAGATAAAAAGTAAACAATTTAAATATAATTTAGTTATAAACTTATGCTACCTATATATACAAATTATGAAGAAGAGAAAGGTTATAATATTAAAAATTACATATAAAGTCGCAAAGCAAAAAAACTTTACATCTTTTTTGTCACTTTGCCCCTTCATTTTCATCAACTTTTCATCTTCTTCGCATATTCGTCTTCGAACTTGTATATTCTCTAAGAATATTATAAACTACAAAATATTAATCGAAAGGACATGTCAATAAATCACGTCCTTAAAGAAGTTATGTGTGTACATTATAAAAACATACATATATAAAGAAGAAAAAAGCAAAAAAATGGAACATGGTGTTAACATCAAATTTAGAGATATTAAAAAAAAAAAAATCCAAGTATGTGGGTGGTTCAATTGTATATCCTTGATATCCTGCCTATGATATTTCTATTTTTTTAAATTTCTTTTATAATAATTGTTGTCTTTTTTATGTGTTGGCAGATTCCTTTTTTTTTTTCTTGGGCTTCCATATATATGTAGTGTATAAGAAGAAAAAAAATTAAATTTCAGTAGCATGTCTATATGACAATATCATGCAGAGTCGGTTTTAATAATGAAATATTTAAAATATTTTTTTCCATAAATTTTTTTGGTGTTCCGTTTTCTTTTTTTCGAATATACGCATTCGATAATATCCTTTTTTTTTTGTACTATACCAAAAACTACTTATGTATATTAAATTTAATATAGATATGTACATACATAATATGCTCCATACAGAGAGACAAAATAATAAAAACAGAAAGAGATTCTATAATATTTAATGAAAAGAAACAAAGAAATTTTAGAACTACTCATAGGACATCACACAGGAGATTGTACCACAAAATCGAATAATACTTACTACATATATTTTATTTTCTTTTGATATTTTATCTCTCAAATTGTCTATTGAAAACCTGTCCTCACTTAATTTGAACTCATTATTGATGATCATTATATATATATATATATATTAATATAAAGGACAACTTTTATTTATGTATCGGTTACTACATGGAGGTCTAGCTTTATGTTAAACATTCTTATTATATTTTATAGTTATACACATCTGTGTTGTGTTCAGTATTGTGTACTGAATTTATAAATACATATACACTAATAATTCTTATTATCTAAATTAGAAATGGGTGTGTGTATTGTAAGTTAGGACCTGTTGTCCTATTTTAATTGTTAATATTTTTTTGTTTTTGTTCTTTTAATAAAAAGCGACAAAGTTGTTAAAAATTGTTTAGTTATTTGTTAAAAGATGAACATTTTGTTTTTTTTTTGGTGTCTATTTGATTCTTCTTTTGTCATAATTGATATTGATAACAAGAATATTGGGTGGTCGGTTAAATTTTAAGTTAAATTTTTCTTTAAAAATTTTTTTATTGATAGTTATTTAATGGTATATGATGGTGAGAAAGTTGATATTGAATTGATCGTTTCTATATAGTTATTTCTTTTTTTTCGAAAATATCTGAATAATGAAGATTTTTAAACGAATTTTTAGTTCGATTGGGGCTATTTAATATGAAATTTTATTTTAATAATATTGTGTTTATAAAATAAGGACTACAATAAATTGAAAATGTTTATGCACATGCTGTACATGCTGTTTATGAATCATTTATAAGCTGAATCGAAAATATCAACAATGAAGCTCGAGTTTGTTGGAAATTTGAAACATGAACGCGGTTTAATATCAAATTTATCTGAGTGCAGAATGAAAAAAAAGTAAGAAAATGTTATCCTTATTAAGACAAAAGAAAAAATTAGTAAAAGATTAAAGTTGTTTTGGGAAAGTTTTAACAAGAGAAAGCAGTTTTCAAAAAATAGTTTTGCTAATAGACATTTTGTTTTATAACTCAGTGTATTGTGTAGACCTTTTATTAATCTACTTTATTAAATTTCATTTATCATTCTTAATAATATCATGGTATTTATTGGTTTGACCCAATTGAATGGGAATAATATTTTATATTACATATATTAAATTTCTTTTATAGATTCCAAATTTTAAAAATTAAATTTGTACAATAAATAGTAGTTATTAAATGATTACTTTCTCTTGAGCTAATATTTTCAAATGTTGTTATAAAGTGCTTCTTTTATTTATCAAATAATATTTGCGAATAATACTAAAATTTCAGAAACCTTGAGTCTACATATTCGGGTTATGGCGTTACTTACAAATCTAAATTCTAAAGTATAGACTTTTCTAGACTTACAAGACTAATAAATTTTTTTTTAGTAGCAGTATTGTAATACGTTAGTCATTTATAATTTAAAATTTTCTTAATTATGTTGTAATTGACCTGTTATTTATGTTCTACACGCTTATTACAAAAATGCAAAATAATATTCTTAGTATAACAAACTTAATTATTTTTTTCTTTATTATTATATTACATAAGATTAATAATATTAAGTTAAATAATACATAATTTAGAATAATGAAAATATTGTATTTCTGTTTATATGTTCATAAATGTGATGTACTATCATCTGTAGAATTTCTTTTATCACTTTCACTAGCACTTTCATCATCATCAATTATTCTTATAGTAATATTACATGGTGTTACAATTTCTTTATTTTCTGTTTGATCAATTAATGATTTTCTTCTTAATTCACATGATGAACAATTTCTACTAGTTTGCATTTGAATATTTTCACAATATTGTTTCGATTTACTTGTTCCAGATGTTGATGCTTCATTTTTAAATTTACAATAATCTAGATTTGCTGATAATCTACGATTATATGAATCTCTACATGTATCAGCTGAACGAGATCTTAATTTTCTATGATGAGTCGGTTTCGTACGTATATTATTCAGATCCTAAAAAATTCAAAAAAAAAAAAAAAAATTACATATATGAAAATATACACTTATTTTTCAATAATTGAAAATTTTTTAATTAAATTTAGATTATTTTCATACCATATCGAAATTTCTTATATCATCAGGTGATAAAGAAGTAAAAGTATGACTAGCTTTATTAATTTCATGTCGTTTACAAAATGGACTCAATAATTGTAATGAAGAACTTCGTACTCTACGAGGACCAGGAACTTGTAATAATTGTGTATCATCTGAGCCACCAATTGTTAATGAAGCTCTATTCAATAAAATTGGTGTTTGTATTCTGGCTGACATATTTGTTGACACACTTATATCACTATTTCGTCGCCTTGATAATCGACCTTGTCCTAATTCAGCATCTAAATCTAAATCTAAGAAACTTTCTTCACTGCCTATTATCTATATTTAAATTAAAAATATAAATTTCAAAAAAGTTTAAATAAATTTGTTAAAAACGTTTAAGTATACAATTAGGTGAAATTTTTTATATAATATAAATGTGTAAAATCAGTTTGAATTATTATTGGTAATAATGATTCTGCAAAAAAGTTTAAAACTACTTACTTTTTACTAGCTTATGTTAATATAAAGTTAACTAATTTCAAAAGTTAAAATTACTGTTATATTTGATAGTTTACCAAGGTTAATTAAATACTTACGTTTATAAAATAAGCTTTAAACTACGTTACAAAATTAAGATATAAAAGAGATTTAGCAAAATAATATAAAATTAGATTAGCAGTAATTCTAAACTTAGCTATAAACGAGAAGAACCGAGCCTTTGAGATAAAATCGATAATTTAAAGTTGCTCTTATCTTACGTTATTCAGCAAATTTTCGATTTCATGCGGTCTGTTTAATTAAGGTCTCATAAGTCTTGTCATAATTTTTTTACAATCATAATATTTGAATATATTTTTAAATTTAAATTCGGAATTAACAAATCAAAAATCCAAATCTGAATTGTGTATAAACTAAATTGCTTGCGCAAGAACTCGATATTTCAATCTATTAGTTAAAGTTTTAGTTCGTTCAACATTACTAAAAATGTTGTTTAAAGAAATTAATAAGCAATATTAGTTCTACAATTGCGAAAGTATTAACTACTTACAAAACCAAAAACCATTTCTGGTCAAAATTAAAACAAAATCCAGTAAAAAATTGGGTCAAATATTATTGTACATCACAATTTTTAACATTCGATTAGATTTCCAAGAAAATCTTTTCAATAATCTATTTTTACATATACTAAATAAAATTGCATATTTTCCGGATGTAATAATAAAATTTCACTCGCATTTTTCTTCGCCAAAATATATGCAATATTTTTTTTTTAAATTAATACACAACCGTAGTTTTTCTCACTAGCTTCAACAATCATGATTTTAATAATTTTATAAAATTCAAATCAAGAATAAGGTTTTCTAAAAAATATTAAAATTTTAATTAAAAAGAACAATAACTTTTTTTTTTCATTCTGTTTTTCATTATTATTTCAAATTTATTTTTATATTCTAATTTTTTTTTCTTTTGAAATCGTTTTTTTAGCACCTAAAATTATTTATTTTAATTTTTTTCTTGTTTTTTTTGTTTCTTTTTTTTTGTTTGCAATTATTTATGTAATAATAATAATATTCTCATAAAAAATAATAACTACTTGTGCTTAGCATTAAAAACTAAAAATTAACAAACATTTTATTAAAGCAAAAAAAGAAAAAGAATTTTAGCAAATTTCGATTTTTGTTTTTTTTGTTTTCCAAATAGATTTACCCTATTTTGTATTTATATGTATTATTAATTTTATTATAGAGAATGTAGCTAATTTAAAATCTAATAGAAAGTTGCTTAAATAAATCCACAAAAAAAATTCTAAAAGTAATTTTAAAAAGGAATTAAAATATAATTGAAGAGTTTAGTTATAACTCGTATTTTCGAAAATGCATCACGCACGATATGATATTCAGAATAAAAATTACTGTGAGAATTTAAGGTTTTTCTACACTGAAGAACAACATCACTCACAAATACTGTAACGCGTCTTAGAAATCATTATGATAAAGCCTGATCTTAATTAAATATTGAGTAAATTGAAAACTTTTACATTAATTACAAAATTGTTAGTATACAAGTATTTTGAAATTATTGAATTTAATAGAACATAAAAAATTTAAACCATACTATAATTTTGGAAGTACAACCTAAGATTTTTGATCTCTAAAAAGCTACATTTATTTTTAAATTTTATAAATTTTTAAAAATATTATATAGAATGATTTGATAATTTGAATTAAAGCATAAAATTTAAATAAAAATATAAAAATTCAATAATCGACACTATTGTGTATATGTACAAATTTTCTTTCCCAATTTCTTGTTTTTTTTTTTTTTGTTTTATTTTAAACATTATTAATAATATTAATTGATAATGTACAATCAAATATATTTACTATCATAATATTAGGTTATATTTTAAATATTTAATTTTTTTTTTTAAATATTTATATTATCATTATAATTTTTGTAATATTATTATTGAAAATAATATTAACATTACTATAATTTAAAAATGTTAAGAATTTTTTCTGTTTTATTTTACTTTTTCCTTTTTTGCTGATCATTTATATTTCTTTAATTTGAGTCTAGGCATAAATATTATTTTATAATTACTTATAAATATTTATTATATATAATTAATTTTTCTTTGTTTTTAAATATTTATTAAGCAAATTTAATTCTTAAAATAGCTTTCATTTGTATATATTGTAATGCATGTTATATATAACTAGTTGTTTAATGCTTTTTTATTGTATTTAATTAATACAAAATTTAATTTTTTTTTATAATTATACAATTAATTTAATTTAATATAAAAATTAATAACTCATTTTTCCATCTTTATATAAATACTCAAGTATATGTGAGTAAATTGCGCGTAAAATTTAAAAAAATAGTGTTTTTTTTTATTAATAATTATTATTGTTGGCAAAAATAAAAATAATAATAATAATTATAATAATAATTATAAAAATAATAATAATAATTATAATAATAATTATAAAAATAATAATAAAAATAAGACAATAAAAATAACAATAATAATATTATAAATATATCGAAATTTTTAATATAATACATAAATATATATTTTAATACAAATTAATTAAGTAATTAAAATATTAATTATTCAATTTATATTAATTAATAACATTTTTAATATACAAATGAAAAATCACAATGAGTTTAAGTCGTTTGTTTTAGTTTTCATAATTCTGTATTTATTTTTGTTGTATAATAGTGACTAGGATTAGCACTTATTTTTTTTTATATATTTTGTTATTTACTATTGAAATTAAGAAAAAAAAACGTAATGACATTCATTTTATTTCATTATAATTTTAAGTCAATACGGTAATTTATAAAAAAAAAAGGAAATTATTTATTTTCATTTTTTAACTCTTCTCTTTTTCTTAACAGTTAATTTTAAAGAACATGGTTTCGATTTTAGTTTGCCAATTTATGGCATAGATTTATATTTTCATATTAAAATATTAATTAACTACTAATTATCAAATTTTAGCCACGTTTTTACCGAATAATTGAAAAATATTACGAAACCAACTTCAAATAATTGTCATTACCATTAATTTTATTTTAAAATTTTAGAAAATTTAAAAAAAAAATCTTGGAAAAGTAACTTGAATGATGTTGGGTTGATTAACTTAATTGGTATTTGAGTTTTCATAATTTATTTAAGTTTTTTTTTTATTAATAATCATTTTTATTTTGGAAATAATTTGATTTGCTATTCAACTACATTTTATTATTGATAAACATTATAATACAATTCGATTGGAGTGATATACTCAAAAAGTTTTAAATAATTTTAAAATAAATATAGAAATTTATTTTGATAAATCAATGAACAATTTTTAAATAAATATAAAGAGCTAAAAATTGAAAACAAAGTACATACTTGAAATATTTTTTTTAAAATTGAACAAACCAAATTGTACAGATACTAGAATAAATAAAAAAATACAATTTGTTTAATTGTAAATGATTACAATTTTAATTATAAATTAAAAAGTATGAATGAAAAATTTGAAGTAAAATTGAATAAATTTTAAATTATCAATGTATTTCGTTGTAAGAACTGAAAATTTTTCAAATAGGAGTTCAAAAAATGAATATTTGAAGTGAAATGAAAATCTATTATTAAACTTTAAGAAATTTTACAATTCAAAATGAGATCAAACAAATCTAAAAGTATATTTTAATAAACAAAATATTGTATTTGAGTAAAAAATTTTTAAGTAATTTTTAATAAATAAAAGAAATACCAATTAATTATTCCTTAAATAGAATAAATATTTTGATAAAAGATTTTTTTAAATAAAAAAATTTAATATATAAATTTTAAAAATTAAATGCAAAAAAACATTAAAAATATTTTTGTTTTTATATTTTCTTCTTACTCACAATTATTTGTAATAATTGTAATAATGTATTCGGCTCAGTTTGTGTACTATTGCATATTCTATCCACAAAAAATTTTACGTTATCGATGAATAAATCGTACTGAAAATTATTATAATAAGATTAATTTAAAAAAAAAAAAAATTTATATTATAAGCCTTTGATAAATTACAAATTAATATTTTCGCACTAATAATATTAGTATAACAATAACATTAATTGAAATATTTATTACAAAAGTGTAATACATTAATAAATAATAGCAAATAAGAAAATGAAGAAAGTTTTATATTTTATATATAAAATATATTATATGAAATTAATATTTAAAAAAATACTTTTCATACTTATTCATTCATATTATTCAAAACTTATTTTCCATTTTTATAGTATTTACGGAAAAAAATTAAAAATTTATTTAAATTTTTAAAGATTTATAGAGTAATTTCAATACGATTGCGAAAAAGTATAAGATTTTTTTGTTTTATTGTTTTTAATTTTGAATAGTTTTTAATTCATTTTGTTTATTAAGTTTTTAAATGAAATTTGAGAATTTTCATAAAATTTATTGTATATGTACGTGTACATTTCGATATTTTTAAAATTCAGTATGAAATTAATATTTATTGATTTTAGATTTGTTGTTTATTTTGGTTCTCAAGTGTATTTTTTTTTACAATATACATAAATTTAATTTAAGATATTATTTTAAATATAGATTTTTGTAAGAGGGAAGAACAGCGATATCATTATTTCTATGTAAAATAAAATGGTTTTTTTTTTTTTATTGAAATTTCTATGTTTAATAAAGTTTTATATTTTGGGATTGAAAAGTTTTTCTTTCTTGGATATTTTTTTTTGTTTTTTATTTTGTTACTTAAAATTAATTACGATAAATCGTTCTTATACTTATGTTATAATAATTAAGAATAATTCTATTTGATTTTCTTTCTTTTTTTTTGTTTAAGTACTAAATTCAGTAATTTTATTTATTATATTAATATTTAATATTAAATATTTACTGTATAAAAATATGATCACAAATCGTTTTCAGTTTTTTTTTTTTTGTTTAGTTTTCTTCCTTTTATTATTACTTAACTTTTAGGTTACGTTTTTTGCGATTTAAATAAAAAATATATTTAAAAAAATGAAAAAACCAGCAGAATATTGAAAAATTTTAAAGCAAGGTTTTAATATTATTGAAAAATATTAAAATTCTAAAATATATATATAAAATATGTTCAATTATCATTATCAATTATCAATTTAATAATTTGATGAAAAATTAAAAAAATTTAATTTTATGAGGCAAATATTTTTAAAATAATAATCATTTTTTTGTACTAAATAATTTTTAGTAATTTTACAATTATTTTAATTATTAGAAATAATTAAAAATTTCTTCAAGTGACTATTAGTTTCAGTTTTGAACACAATATTCTATTGCAATTGTATTATTTAAACATAAACAATTTAAAAATGTATCAAAATAATACTGTGCATATGTATAATTAACTTTTCTGAATTAAAATTAGAAAAAAAAATTGATTTTTGAATTTGATAATTTCATTTTAAATAAATGAAGAAATCGTTTGAAATTTTGAATAAACAAAAAGCATTTTGAATGGAGTTTATAAACTTTGATTATTATTATATATTTTATACTTAAGTGAGTTTTAAATAAAAATATACAAAATGTGTGCTTGTTTTCTAAATATCCAATTTATATCATTTAAACTATAATTTTTAATTAATCTAGGTTCCATCACTCAATAAGGGATAAAAACAACTTGCTGATTCTTTCATATTGCACATTTCCCTATCACATACTTTTGACGTACCTCATGTTTTATATATTTTACACGGTTTAATGTCGTAAAAAACGTAAAAATTTTTAATTAATTATTTTATTAATTTAATCAATAGTTATTATTAAATTTTTACATACCAGAATATAATTAGGTATTTAGTGATTTATTAATATTCGTATTATTTAATTTATGAAAAAGAAAACGATTATTTAAGGTTTTGTTTTATTATTATTTGAGAATAAAGAATAAGAAAATGATTTTTTCTTTTTCTTGGTTTTTGTATTAAGTCTAGCTACAGTGGCAGCATAATTTCTTTTGTTTTTGTATGTTTTTATATTGTTTTTATTTTTGGTATTAAGGTAGATAAGTTTTAGTTTTTTTGTTTTACTACTACAACATTCTTTTTCAACCAACTTTTTACTAATTTTAGTAACTTTGGTAAAATAGTTTTAATATTTCTTTTTACTTAATCGTTTTTTCTTTGTAGTATTTTATAATTTATTGTACATTTATATGTAAACATATAAACTTGTAAATTTAAATATTATAGTAAATATAATTTTCTGTTAAAGAGTATTTTTTGCTTTGTATTTATTTTAAATGATTTTTTTTTTAAGTTAACGCCATATTATATAAGTTATACGTATAACGCTATACTACTAAAATGAATTACTGACAAAAAGAAAATAATGGAAAGTTATAAGGTAAGTAATTAAATTTTTTAATTTTAATATTTTTAAAAATTATTTTTTTTTTTATATTATTTTATTTATAAATTAATTTTATTATACATATTATACGTTTATATATGATATATATAATTTTTGAATATAATAATAATATAAATAATATTATTTATTTTATTGTTTTTAAACATCAGTTACTTGATGGCTTGAAGTTGTTTGATTTGATGTTGCAAAATTTTGTAATATATGATTTGCTGATGTTGATATACGTGGCAATTGATAATTACTATTACTGTTACTGTTATTAAAATTTTGACTTAAATCATCATTATTTGTCACTATTATACTACTTAAACTATGACTATGTTGATGATGATGATGATGATGTTGTTGAGGTGGATGATGATGATTATGATGATGTTGAGTTGTATTATGTTGATGATAATTATTATTATGTGGATTTTGTTGATTATTATTATTATGTAAATGTTGTTGTTGACAATTATTATGATAATTATTACGATTATTTAAATTTTTATTTGAATTATTACTATTATTACTACTATAATTATTAATATTACTATCATTATTTAAATTACAATAACTATTATTAGCATTACAATTAGCATTTTTATTTGAATAACCATTTAATATAACATCACTACTATTTTGTTTTAATAATACAAGATTATTACGGCATAAATCATTATTCATTGCTATAGCATTATTAGGTAAGCTATTAGCAGATTGAATTGTTGCTGTTGGTGTTGGTGACGTTGTTGAAGACGAAGATGTTAATATTGCTGTATTTGATACAGTAGCATTATTACTACAAATATTATTTGATGCATTTGTATTTGATGCATTATTAGATACAATTAATGATGATGGTTCTATAATTTCTTCTAGCTGTGATGGATCAAAATTTGGTCTTGTATTTGTAACAACAACAGCAGCTACTGATGTTATATTATTTAATGTGGAATTTGTTCTATTATTTATAATTGAAGTAGTTGTTGCTGAAGCATTTGTTGATGAAGCTGTTGTATTTAATGATACTAATGGTGGACCTGATGGACTTTCTGGGGTTAATGATAATATTATTGGATCACCTACCACAAAACCATAATGTTTAAGAATATCCAATTTGCACATAGGACATGTACGATGCTCTAATAACCATGGATCAATACAGTTTTTATGAAATTCATGACTAAAATATAAAAAAAATATATATACGTATATAAATATAGGTATTCAGTTAAATATATAATATTAAATATTAGTGTTACAGATAGTAACAGCATTAAGATTTAATGATTAGTAATTAAATTTTAGTACGTGCATATTAAATTTATTTTATGCCGTATTGGTAGAAATTTATAAACTTACCGACATGGAAGAACTCTAATACAATCAGTTGATTTATAATTTTCAATACATATAGCACAACAATCAGTTTCAGCTTCTTTATCTTCAGTTTTACCACTTTTCGTTGGAATTTTCATAATAATGCGCTTCGCAGCAGAACACAAATTTCGCTAAAAACAAAAATGGATTTTATTTAAAAAAAAAATTTAATTTTTTTTTTAAATAAAGCATAAATTTTTAATTTAAAAAACTTACTTCGTTTTGGTCCTTTGATTGTAAATATCTAAATCTTTGTATATAATAGAATATTAACCAGACTAAAGATATTACCATTAAAATAATGAATGATATCGAAACAAATAAAACTGATGTCCTGTAAGGAAAAAAAATAATACACAATATTTAAATAAATTTTCGTTAAATTTTAAAAAAAAATGGTTTGTGTATTCACTAAATTTTTGTATGTCAATCAATAGGCAAAATTTTTAATTAAATTTCAGACAAATTTTTCGTTCAGAAATACTAACTTCACTGAATATAATTTTTAATTCACCTATACGACAACAGATGACAATGAATATATTTTTTTTACTGAAATTATTAATTATATTTGAAAATTTCTTTTACAAGAACAAAATGTGTTTATGGATTTCTTTATCAATAAATTTATCTGTTATCACTATAACGTCTGCTTGTTCGAAATCCATTGGTTTACACACGTGAATTATTTTAATTTGAGCTAGCTTTATTACTTCACCTTACTTAAGTACAATAGTTTTGAATTGAATTCATTGCTCTCCTAAAAATGGTTGCGCACATTGGTATATGTATATGCAATGCATATGTTAAAATATTTGCATACTAAAGTTGAACTAGTTTTATCAAAAAAAGTTGAATCTGAACAGAAATTAAATGGAACTAAAATTTTTGTACAAAATATGAAAGACTTAGGAGACAGTGTCAGAGAGTTCATCGCAAATCGTATGAAAAAAGGAATCCATCTTGAAAAATAAATTGCTCTAAATGGAGTTTTAAAAATAACTTTTATTTAAAAAATAAAAATATTAAAAATAACTATATTGAACGAAATTCGAATAAGTTGTTAACCGTTATTATGCAATACGGTTCTTTATATAGAGTAAAGTAAATTAAACTTTCATTGTGATATGGAGAGGGAAAATAATTAATTCTTTACGAATTTCATACTTTATTCTTACTTCTTCTTATGATTTCTTCTATTAATTTTTACTTTATGCATTTATTATATAAAATATTTCTGTACATAGAATTGAAAGTAGTTTATAAAAGTACCTATTGCGCCCTATACTCTACCGTTCCTACTCCATATGGAATTGCACGATAAGAATTCAAATGAATTAAAATTAAAATATTGAATGACAATTCTGTCTATATAGTAAAAAACATGAACAACTTTATTTAGCATAAAAAAAGACTGTGCTCAATGTATACAAACACATGTAAACAATCTCAATTATCGTAAAATTATTATCTATTTAAATTAGTTGAGAAAAAATAATTCATTACCTACCTATAACAATTACTTCAGTAATATTTTTTAAATTAAATTTATTTGATAAAGAATAAGAAAAATTCTAAAACTCATTGGACTTGTGTACACCGTAGACATTCACATATTTTATAATAATAATCTTTCTTACTACTTAATACTTTACTAATCAAAATATTTTCGAATTAGAACGTATATTATATACGATTAAAACAATTGGTATCAATATATCGTAAAACTTTATTACAAAATTAATAAAGTAATTAATTTTATTTTATTTTAGTTATAAAGAGACGTCAATGCTTGCATACATACATATATTAATTATAATATTGTAATTATAATTAATAATAATATTATGGTTTTGTTTTGAAAAGGTAAAAAAAAAATACAATATAAAAAAAACAAAAGAAATAATAGAAGTAATTAAATAAAAATTTTGATAAAAAAATTAAATAAGTATGTATTTAAAACAATTATAATTACCTTGTTCTAGATAGAAGTCCGGTAAAAGTATACAAGAAAAAAGTTGAAGAAATTAAAAAGTAATTAAAGTTCTGTCTATATATAGAATTTTGGAATTATATTATAAGTTAAGAGAAAGAAATTTTTTAATTATTAAAATATATTTAATTAACAAAGTACTTAATTAATTTATAATATGGGTTTATGGCAAAAGGGATTTTTTTCTTTTTGGTTTCGGTCACAATTATAAGCAATGCTTTCGCGTTACTTATAAACATTTACTGTAATTTTAACATTATAATTTTAACTAAATATCGAAAATTTACAGTTTAACTATAAAAAACGCGAAAACAATTATTTTGAAACAAAGATAAGCAATTTCTTAGAAATTTTATTAAGTATTTCGATATATCAGAGTAATGTCGGGTAAGCTTAACAATTATTAATATATATAATCCTAAACAAAATACTAAATTCTAGAGAAAAAAGTAAATTATGGATCTGGTCCAATTTTTCCTGGGACAATTAAAGTGATACGCTTAATTACGAATTGGTATTGAATCACGTAATAGCATGGCATATACTACTTACATATAAATGAAATTATGTCTTAAATTTAAAATATGTTGAAACCTATGCAGATACTTATAAAATGCTGTTTCTATAAATCTAATTACACATTAAGCAATTTTTTGTTATATTCTAAAAAGACATTGATGATATAAAATACTGCCAATTTTAAATTTAAAGAAGAACAATTTGAAATAGCAACAATTATAACCAATCATCATTATTTATACAAATTATAATATTAAACCATTTAAATATATTTATTGCCATTGCAAATTAACAACATTTTACTACCTTTATGATAAACATTTCTTAATTAAAAACTATACGTAATTTGAAATGATGTTCCATCGACCATCATATATTTTGAAAAACCCTAAAATTAGCACATTATAAAATTGAATCTAACAAATATTATTTTACATAATTTTATATTGTGCTCATATGTGGGTGAATTGATGTAGACAAAAATGTAATGGTAATTCATCATAAATTAATTCAACATAGATAAATATGAAATAAACAAAATTCAAATATTATGAAAATTGGCTTAGAAAAATTTAAATGTAATTGAATTTTTAAATTATTTACTCCGATTTGATAATTATTGTAATTTAACTTGAATATTAAACACCAATGATGTATTTTTCAATCTCAAAATGAAATGTAAATGAAAACAAATGTAATTTTAGTATGTATGATAGCAAATAAAGGATAATATGTGGTAATCGGTATGCATATATTGTGTATGAGATTCTGACAGAAAAAATTGCAATCAAATATTTTTTTCAAAAAATATAATAATTTAGTTAAATAAGAAAAGCCTTTAACATCTATTTAGCGGTAATTTTATAGTATATAAAATGTTTGTTATTATTCATAGAACTAATGAACCTAACAAAAAATTTTGAGCAGCAATTGCATTAACTATATTATTAAAAATAAATTATCTTCTCATATTTTTGGTATGATAAGAACAGAGCACGGGCAGAAAATTGGTAATATTAAAGACCAGTCAAAACATAGATTATATGCATTTGAAATTTGAAGTTCGTAAACTATAATAGTATTGGAAAATAAAAAAATTCTTTGTTTGAAATGCTATGCTAATTATAAAACTAGCTAATTTTAAAATATTCAACATTACAAAATTTAATTTAAAAATTTGATGAATTAAGTTATTTCAATCATTGTAATGGATAATAATAAGTAGTATTGGTCACATCATAATCTTCATATACATAATCGCATCACAAATCTACTTACATATATCAATATAAAATTTGATATTTAGCATGATTATTACTTTTTATTACAGAAGTCAAGTTGAAATTATAGAAATTACAATGTACACTTAATCAATCGGTACCTACTTATGTGTCGGATTGATATAGTTTTTTTTTCTGCTTTAAAAGCTTCCCTTGCAAATAAGCAAAGATAAGGGGACTGATCTTTAAATATTGGTTTTTAAATACATACTTAAATATTACAATTAAGACCATAACTATTTTAAGTACATCAATTTGACCAAACTATTTTAAGTACATTGAAATTATTTTTAGACAGAAAATTACATTATCACAGCAAAAAAAAAAAAACAACAAAAAATCTTACTTATTTATATTAGTTGGTCTAAATCCTCTTGTACCCTCTGATATTGATACCCAAACTTTTTGATTACTATCAGCAACTCGGGCCATTTCTTCACCAATCCATCTAAATGTGAATACAGCTGTAATATTCCCTAAAATGTATAAGAAAAATTTAATTAGAATACAAATTAAATAATTTTTTTTTTTATAATTTTTATAGTACTTAATTTCTAATACACACACGTGGACACATGTGTTATGCGCAAATAATTTTATAAATTATGTATTGATTACAAGTCCAAATCAATAATAATTAACAGACTACATGTTTATAAACATAATGTGATTACAATATCAAATTTTAAATAAATAAAATTAGAAAAACAAAAAATTAAAATTTCATTTTCATTTTAAAACAAAATAATGAAACAAAGAAAATGATCTACTTAGATTGAAAAAATTATACAGAATGAAATTTTGTCTAAAATTAAAAAAACAATATTCAAAAAAAATATCACGTTTAAAGCATGTTTCACCCAAATTCAAAAATTAATTGACCTTGTATAATGACGCGCTACTCGTAATATTAAAGTAATTATCATGATAATTCAATTAATTTAATATACAAATAGACTAGTGTGTCTAATTAATAATTTATTCAGTTAGAAAGCAAATTCAGAGGCTCTAATTCAATGTAAACAAAGTAAATGTAGTGATTCTTATCACATGTCAGTAACAGTATTAATTCAAAAATAAAATATCAATTTATAAGTGATTTATTTTTGTTACGTCTCTCTGTCTTTCTCATTCTCTATCTACTCATCTCTTCACACAAGTATATTTTTCTAATTTTTTTTTCTTCTTCAGTTTTGTATAAATAGTTCTAAATATAATTTTAATGTATTTTACACTTATTATGTCCATACCTACATACATACATATATGTATACTGACATAAACAAAATGTAAAACCTATTTCATTTAATTTATTTTTGTTTTATAATAGAATTAGTACCTATTTAATAATAAATAGAATATAAATATGTATTTAAAAATATGTATGTTTTACATATTTTGTATTTAAATATTTTATTCTTATATTGTTATATTATGCATTTTATACTCACTTTCTTTTTCAATAATTTTCATTTTTTCTAAACTAACTGAAGCCTCATCATTATAAACTATAACACCAGCGGCACCTTGTAACCAAACGTGACGAATTTTTTTTTCAAATGTACATGAACCGCGTCTAACTAATGCAATCCATGGTTCACCTCTCGGTGGTAATGGTTTATTATTTGTACCACGTATATTTTCTGTACATGCTGTATGATCAGATACATTATGTTCACGTGTTACATGTACTAAATGTCCTTGTACATTTAATATTCTACCTTCACCATATCGTGCTTTCTCTTCAGATCTACGAATTTCTTCACCATCTGATGCACTATATGTAAAATTAATAAATGCTAATACATAACTATCACGATCACCATAACGATCACCATTACCGACACCTCCATTACCAACGACACCACTTAATTTATCATCAATACGATGTGTTGATGTTGCTATTGGTTCTTTTGGAAATGGTACAGATTCAGCACCAGCTGCTGATGATACCAATAAATAGAACCATGATAAAAATATAAAAGTAAATAATATTTTAAATCGAAATGATGTTTGAGTCATTTTTACAGGATTTTTATTTTTCCTTTTTAATATCGAATTATTGCGATACAATAATTTAAAATTGATTCTTTCAATATAATTTTTATATTTTATGAGTTTTACTTTGCTCGAAAATAAAAATAAAAAATACAAAAACTTAATATAAAAAATTTGGAAGAAACTCTAAGTTAGTTTACCGGCTTTTTATATTTCTTTTTATGTTGCTTTCACTTATTTCTCACTAATTTTTTCGTTGTTTTATGCTACACATATTCTGATTTCATTTATTTCTTTTTTAATAATTCACTATTTTCTATTAAAATTTAAAATTTTATTTCATATTTTTGAAATTTAAAAAAATTTTTTTTTTATTTTATTACAATTAAAAGTTGACATTGAACTAGTTTGAAAATTAAAAATATTTAAATTTTTTCTCTTATATTTAAAAAAAAAATATCTTATTTTTCAATAATATAAATAAATAATTATTTTTCTTAAAATACTGAAAAGGCGAACTGATTAAAAGTGCAAAACTATCAAGGATTGTACTGCGATGCGAACAAACACCCGCGATAATCAAAACCAATGTGTGCAGAAAGTAAAATATTTTTAAATTTAAAATTTTTTTTTCTTTCTTTTCCTTGTATTGTGATTTTCTAGTTGTTTTTCTTTTATTTTTTATATTTGTGTTTTACAATTGTGTACTTGGAATCACCTACAATCGATTGTTATCTCACTTTTATCAGCTTTAATAATTACTGTATATAATTAATATTTTCAATAAATTTTCAATTTAATTGTTACTTTTTAAATCTATTGCTACTGAAATATTTTGTAGACTTGCAGTATTATTCATATTATAATAATTATTAACTTCACTACAATAAAAACATTAGTGTGGTTGACTGTACAGTAATTGCTGTTTTTTTATTGTTGCTGCAGCATTTATTATTTTGTTGTTTGTCGGTCGTTTCTATTGTCGCCGATGTTTCTTAATTTTAATTTCACTTTTAATTATTTCTTTATAACAAATTCTCTTGCTCTCTCTCTTTTAAAATCACTTTAATTTTTTTGATCGTAAATTATTATGCGTTCTTTCTTTTTTCCTTATTTTTAAATTATTTATAAAACATTTTATTTAATTAAATTTTTTTTTTGTTATTCATGCAATAAAGTGTCACATTTTATAATACTCAATTTCAATGAATTTAATTTGATTTGAAAATTCATTTTATGATTTTGATCGTAAAATTTATTTTCAAATTTAACAATTTTATTTTTATTCTAAATAAACGATTTGAAATTTTCACTGCTGCTATCAGTTCATTACTATCGTGTTTGCCGTTCTAATTGTTACTGTGATGACACCATTGTGTTATTATTATACTGAACAATTATGATTAAATAGATATTATAAACCTGTGAAAAGAAAAAGAAAAATAGAACTATTAGAAAAAAAAAAATAAAAATGTTTATATTTTAGTTTACATTTTTGTTATTGATTTTTATTATTATTATTGTTATTTTTTTAAAATTTTATGTTTAGCGAAATACGAGAAAATTTGTAACGAAATAGATTTGTAATAATTAAATTATGTAGTGGCATGGCATTTGGTACTTTATTACGAAAAAAAAAAATTCCAGGCAGTAAACGTAAAATAAAAATCGAAAACAAGGAAAACACAGTAGATACGTGTGAAGAAAAGGGAAAGAATGAAAGTTTGGTTTTTGGAATTTTGTTTTCTATTACCCTCTATTGTATTTTATGTATGGATGTCTTGTGTTCCAAAAATAAACGACTCACATGTTTTTTTAAGTAGTCACACATTATTTAGATATTTTGTTTTATTTTTTGTTTTTAGAATTAATTTTTTTTTTCTTCTAGCAAATATGTACATAATACGTACATACAAATATGTATGGATGATACAATTTAAATAACAACTTATTTAGTAACAGGTATGTATGCATTTATAATTATAATAGGTATTAAATACGCAGTAATCATAATATTATGAAAATATGTATGTACGTACGTAATCTTATGAATGTAAAAGATTTTAGATTGAATGTTAGGAAATTTTTATGTGTAATAATAACTAATTGACATTTATAGATTGCAAACATAAATTGCTATAAGTATAATGTATTTCAAAATCCATAAATAGCAATTAATTCTATGTATCTCCAAAAAAAATTTATTTTAGAGCTGAAATTGTTCTTAACTTTGTAGGATAGACAAGTATTTACTCTCTCAATCTCCTGTAAAATTTTTAAAATACATGCTAGAATATTTCTGATTTAGGGTTCCGTTATATATGGTATATTGTATGTAAGATACCTATGGACGCAAGCACATAATTTTGGCAACTATTAAGCATGAGGCATATACTTAGCTAGAATACGGTTTATGACTTTAATTCGAATTTTCATTCAAAATATTGTGACATTTAAAATTTAATATTTTTATTATTCTTTTTAAACAAATAAAAAAAAAGAGCGTTATAAACCTAAATCATTAAAACACGTTGAATACTTACAAATTTTATTTTCTGTATAGTCATAAGTCACCTAATAATAACATTTATTATGTTCGTTAAATGATTACTTTGAAATGACGTCAGTTATTTTACTTTTCATTCATGTGCTTCGGACAAAAACAAAGTTAAAACTTAAAAACGTGTCTAAATTTAAAACTTAACTATTATTAGATTAATATACAATATTTTTATGTCCACTACAATGTACATATGTATGTACATGTATATGTATAGTATCTTCACGATTTTATATTTATATATTTTGCAAAATCTAATTTATAAACAGAATTATTGTATATATTGTGTATACAAAGTACGAATATTGTACACATTTATAAACTCTATATAACTTTTTATATTATATATAAGTAGATATGTATTTAGATGCATATATACATATGTGCTTTTTCAATTTTTGTCAATAAAATATACATAAGCAAAGATTTAATTTTCTTCTTTCTTAGAAAAACTTAAACTAAATTAAAAACTAAATAGAAAAAGTTAGTAGGTACCTAAACAATGAATTGAACTCCCAAAAAGAAAAAGAAATGCTCTAACAAATAATTTTTCTACTTCCACTAGAAATTACAAATAATTTTTCTACTTCCATTTTTGGAAGTTTTACAAATAGTGTAACTTCATAGTTATTGTTTTTCTTTTTCAGTACATAAGTACATATGTATATCATCTTTATGTTTAATATTTCGAACTTTTCAAAATTTTCGAACCACTCTCTAACGCCATCATGCTTGAAATGGAAATTTCTTTTGTGATCTTATACAATACACGTACATGAAATCACATCAGTTTAAAAGCAAATGTCATGCTTAATTATGAAATTTTTAATAGTTACTCGTGCTAGATATCCTAAATAATCTTTGATTAAATAAGCAAATGCAGTATTCAATTAATTCTTTTATATTAACACACATTATGCGAGACTTGTTATAATCGTTATTTACATAAAATATAATAATTTATTGGATTTATACGTAAGTAAGATTTATACATACGCTTTATACGTAATATAATTTATTTTATAAATTCAATTTAATATTTTTATAGAAAACACACATGCAAATTAAAATATAACATTTAAATTAACGTATGTATATACGATTTTATAACAAGAAATAATAAAAGTTTGTTTAATAGCGCATACATGCATACATGCTTATGTAAATTAGTATGTCTGAATATGATAAATATATTACGGTCAGATTTTCTAACGATTCTATTTTAATTAAATTCATTTTCTAAATTGCAATAATTATTGTTTGATAATTAAATTTACACCTTAATTAAATATATTATATTGATTGATCTCTTTTATATTATTCTATTATTATGGTTTATTGTTTTTATTAGGCACCACAACGAAACAGGAACCGGTTTCTTTAACAATAAGGTAAATTATATGTTATTTTTTTTATAAATAAACATGTTAACGCATAGTAATATTTAATACACAAATTGCACAGTAATTTGAATATGAGTTATTAAAGTTATGAGTAATGACGTATTTAGACAGAACTATTCTAGAAAATATTCAAGTTTTCATTATTTTCATAAAGGTGTTTTTGTAAGGAACTTAAGAAATAGCTACGCAACACAGTTGTAATTTCGTATGTGCTTATCGTACAGTTTTAAAGTTAAGAAAATATTTCTGAGTTTAAATGAATTTGAGTTCGCTTACGGCTACATTTCGATAAAAAATCTATTTTTTAATACATATAAGTTACAATAAGTTACAGAGAATTCAATATTGAGAAAAGTCACTTTATTTTTGTAACATTTGTATGCAATAATAAGTTATTTTATGTTGAAGACAGAAGCTATTAAGCAGGAGGCATATACTTAGCTATTATACGGTCTATGACTTGAATTCGAATTTTCATTCAAAATATTGCGACATTTAAAATTTAATTGAAACCAGATGTTGACTTTTTCTAAAAATTTAGTTTTTCATGAGAATTTCATTCCTTTATTAATTCTTTTGATACCTTCATTTACAATCATAAATAAATGTAATTCAACAATTCTGTCTAAAATTTTCAGTAGTTTCAAATAATATGCTAAATCAAAAATAAACAAAATATCGTGCATATAAGTAATACCTAAAAATTTATAATCAAATTTTATGACAAAACAAAATTATTTGCCTGTACCATGATATCAGTGTTAAATGCGCACAGTTTGTAGACGATTAGGTTATTATTGAATACATTGTGTATTTTATTGCAATATTCCCGTACCTGTTGCAATATTATTGTCTTTTATGAATTGAATATTTTCGCTTGAAACAAAAGTTAATGAAAAATATAAATTATTATATTATATTTTTGGTAAGTCCGATCTGTGAGGTATGATTTTAAACATATGTTATAAATATATGTATATATTTACATACACAAAAAAGAATATTGAATGAGGTACATTGACTCACTTTTATTTAAGTTTTTCTTAATAAGTAATAACATTGAACAAATTATTAAAATGATTAGAAACTCGAAATTTCTAATGCCACAGAGTAGGTACATATATACGGAAAAGTAAAAGTATACAGAAACGTATACGGAATATGTTCGTTCGCTTTAACACTGAACTTCATCTTGCATGCTTTCAATCAATTATTCCACCATAAAGAAAATTTAGAAATCACCTTCGTTTTGGTAATAAACGTGATCTATAATGCAATGTTTGAAATTTATTTATTGTTTATTATTATCACTTATTAAAAATTACAATAATTGAGATTTGTTAGAATTTTGTAATTTATCAGTTTAACAACAACTTATGGAAGCATTATGAACATTATAATTCTAAAATGTTTACACGGTGAATATGAACTATATGATAATCTGTTGGATTAGTAATACAATATAAAAATATACTCGAATAAAGAATTTTCGCTAGAATATGTACTTAAACTACGATTAACTTATACTTGATTTAAAACCAATGTAAAAATTCTGTTGAAATAAAAAACGATTAGGTAACTAGGGTAATTTATAATAGAATTGTTTCTAAGCTGGTATTGATTTGGAGGATTTTTCTTTGACTTTAACATTTTGTGTTATAAATGTAAAAAGATTATAAAAATGCGTTTTTAACACTTCTTTACAATTTTAAGGACACAAGTAAGCTTTTATTTAATCTTCCCCATTAAAATGTAAATTTACCATTCGAATTCTGTAAAAAGTTTGCCAGTTAGTTTCGGTAATAACTAGAATTCAAATATTAAGTTTCAACAAATTCCATCAATTCCCTACATATTGTATAAAACGTAAAATCGGTTCCTAGTTCGGTTTCTGATCCCTGATCTTTCCAAAAATTTTCGTTGTTTAAACACCCCGCATTTAAATATTAATTTCAATTGAAAATTGGTTGAAATGTAAAATCGGCCGGCAAAGGGGTTCAATTACCGAGTCCTGATATACATACACCAAAAGCTAGTTAACCCGTAACATAGCCAAAATAAACTCACATTTAAAATTTCATGAAAATCGGGTCAGTTGAACTTGAGATACACGCGTGCTCACACAGACCGCCAGACAGACAGAGTCTAAAGTAGTTTATTTGCGCTTTTCTATTATGGAGAAATGCGTTCCCACCGAAAATTTGTCACTTAGAATTTGGTACCATCACATTTGGTACCAACTCCCTTATTTGTATGCCATGCGGTCAATAAAAATCTTTTTAAATATTTTATTAGTTATAGTACATTATAGACTTTAATTTAAAATGTGCTTAAGCATATGAAACTATAAGTTACTTACTTTATTTAAAATTTATTATGATATACATATAGAACAATTTTGCTTTAATAGAAAAATTTTATAGGTTATTAATTTGCAACATGCTCATTAATAAATAATA